AGTACAGTCGAAATGACATCTGCACTTCTATGTTCATTGCTGCACTATTCACAGTAGCCAAACTCTGGAAAAAAAAAAAAAAAACAAGTGCTCGAGAACAGATGACTGGTTAAAGAAACATTGGTATATCTACACAATGGAGTACTATGCAGCTGTTAGGAAAGATAAAGTCATGAAATTTACATACAAGTGGTACTACATGGAAAGTATCATGCTAAGCGAAATAAGTCAGAAAGAAAGGGACAGACATAGAAAGACTGCATTCATCTGGGGAATATAAAGTAACAAATTGGGAGACTAACACCCAAGAATAGCTGAGATAAGTACAAGGAGGTTCACTCCATGGCTTGGAGGCCAGCTGCACATGCTGAGGAAGAAGGCAGCTCAGATAGAGAGGGGAGCACCAAGTAAAGGGTGTTGGGAGGACACCCCCAAGATGAGAGATGCATGCTGAAAATAGACTATAGACCAAACATGATTGCCACTCAATGCCTCTTTTGCAAACCACAGAACCCAAGAGGAGAGAGAGAATATAAGGGAATGCCCTGCCACAGGGGTGGGGGGTATGGGAGGGATGCTGGGAGCATTGGAGGTGGGGAATGGGCACCAGTAGAGGGATGGATACTCAATCATTGTATAACTGAAACCCAAGCACAAAAATTTGTAAGTCTACAACTGTACCTCATGGTGTTTCACTAATAAAAATTTAAATAAATAAATAAATAAAATAAAAGGTCATTGGGATGTTGGTGGTGGTGAGGTGAAGTAACTGTACATAAAGGCCCTCCCGTTGATCGTCGATTTGCTTGAGCGGGCCCAGTAACGTCTCCATTGGAGACTTTGTTGTTACTGTGTCTGGCATATGAATACTCTCGGTAGCTTGCCGGGCTCTCCGAGAGGGGCGGAGGAATCGAACTCGGGTCGGCCATGTTGGCCGCTTCTAAGGCGAACGCCCTACCCGCTGTGCTATCACTCCAGCCCGTGTACTGTACTGTACATAAAGAACAAAAAAAAATACTATTATAAACATGTAAGCTAAACTGTAAAAAAAAAAAAAAAGATCGTTTTAAAGACAATGAAGAAGCTGCTGTAAAGATGCCATAGAAATCTAAGCATTCTAAATACTTCAAAGGACAAGCAAGATAATTTAGGGGTGTCCTCTGACACACTATGATATGGGTAGTATCACTTTCTGTGGGCTAATTGAGGAATGACAAAAATCAAGTATCACATTTTCAAAACTGGAAATAGATCTAAGAAGATGGGAATTATTAGGGAGAAGGAAATTCTAAAGGAAAGGGGGCAACTATTAAATCAGGATCAAAGGAGACATCTGCCTCTAACCAGAGAAAAGAAGAAAGGATGAGAAGAGGTGTGGATAAAACTGGAGTCACGTCCCGACACACACACCCTCAGATATATGATCATTTAATCTTTAGTAAGGGAGCAAGAAATATGAAGTGGAGCATGTAAAGTTTCTTTAACAAGTAATGCTGGGATAACTGGACAGCTTCATGCAAAAATTAGGACTCAGACCTCTATCTAATGCCATGCACAAAAAATCAGATAGAAATGGATTAAAGACCTCAACATCAGACTGGAATCCATAAGGTCATGGAAAAATAGGTAGGCAGAACCCTCCACAATATTAAATCTAAAGCTATCTTGAAAGATGAAATGCCACTGACCAAGCAAGTGGAAGCAAAAATAACCTATGGGACCCACTTCTGGGAATATACCCTAGGGCCCAAAAACACACAGCAGAAACACCATCTGCACCCCTATGTTCATTCTGACTATTCACAATAGCCAGAATGTGGAAACAGCTGGAGTGTCTGAGAACAAACGAAGGGAAAAAGAAACTATGGTACATCTACGTTAATAATCTATGGGACTACGTTAAACTAAGAAGCTTCTGCACCTTAAAAGCAACAGTGACCAAGATACCAAGACAGCCTTCAGAATGGGAAAGGCTATTCATCCAAAACCCTTCAGATAAGGGATTAATATCAAAGATATACAAAGCACTGGTTGAACTTTACAAGAAAAGAGATGTCCAATTCCATCAAAAAAATGGGGAGAAGAAATGAAAAGAAACTTTCTTAAAGAAGATATTCAAATGGCCAAAAGGCATATAAAACAGTGCTCTTCATCACTAATTATCAGGGAGATGCAAATCATATTGACAATATCATCTCATACCATAGAGACTGGCACACATCCAAAAGAATAAGACCAACCAGTGCAAGCACAGATGTGGGAAGAAAAGGGACTCTTCTTAATTGTTGGTGAGAATGCTGACTGGTCCAACCTTTTTGAAAAACAATATGGACATTCTTCAGAAAATTAGAAATTGATCTCCCGTTTGACCCACAAATACCACTTCTGGGAATATACCCTAGGGCCCAAAAACACACAGCAGAAACACCATCTGCACCCCTATGTTCATTCTGACTATTCACAATAGCCAGAATGTAGAAACAGCTGGAGTGTCTGAGAACAAACGAAGGGAAAAAGAAACTATGGTACATCTACACAATGGAATACTACACAGCTGTTAGGAAAAATGAATTCATGAAATGTGCCTATAAATGGATGAACTTGGAGAGTATCATGCATAGTGAAATGAGAAAGGGGCAAATATAGAATGACTACATTAATTTGTGGTATATAGTGATATATGTATGTGTATATAATATACATATATACATATATGTGTGTATATATGTGTATACATACACAGACATAGCCACAGTCAGGGAAAATAGGGTCTAAGAGAACTGGTCAATGATTGGAATAAACCACGGGTGTGTGTGGGGTGGAGGGTAGGTAAGATAGAGAAGGTACCAGGACCAGGATGATAATAATAGCTGGAGATGATCACATTGGAACAAGTTATGAGTGTAAAAAGTAGGTAAAGGGATATACTAGATAGGTATACTTTTAGTATCTGTACTGGAAATCATAATGCCAAAAGGAGTAGGGGGATAAGGAGAGAGAGAGAGAGAGAGAGAGAGAGAGAGAGAGAGAGAGAGAGAGAGAGAGAGAGAGAGAGAAAGAGATGGGGGAAGGTGGCAGGAGGGAAGGAGGGAAGCTAGGGACACTGGTAGTGGAAAATGTACACTGAAGAAGGAACAGATGTTGGGACATTGCATTGCTGCAACCCAATCAAGAACAACTTTACAATTGTGTATATCATGATGATTCAATTTAAACAAAATGAATTATTACAAAAAACTGGAGTGAGCCCCTGCAGCCCAAAACCTCCACACTCCACAATTGCCACCATGATCTTGGTGGGATCCCACTCCTCAGATGAGCCTCATTCAGAAATCATTTTGTTGAAAAACTCAGATATGCGAGTTTTGTTACTGAAATCTCCAGCTTTCATGGCTTCCAGAATGGGCTACCTTCCCCCATGTCCCTGTACTTCTGAAAGCCTGGCAATCACACACATGCCCCAAAGCTGTCAGTCAGTTAAGAATTTAATTCCAGCTGTATCACCCTGTTAGAAATTTTGGACACCCTGGCATGTGCAGCTGCAGTTTCAACCACACAACACCTCAAACTCTGTAACACTGATAAACCAGGTGTAGCACACCAGATTCGATGGAATATAATGTAGAAGGCAACCAATTTTGAGTAACAAAATGTAAACACAGAAGACAACCTGTAACAACACCTTAATAATCACTTATACAAGGACTTAAGGGCTCTATGGTGAGATACAATAATCTTCACTAACTTTCTTCTAAGGAAACATTTTTTTGATCATCCTTTTAGCAAATTATAATAAGGGGGCTATTCCTGATAATGCTCAAGAAACCACTTGTGGTGCATGGGATTCAAACAAGAACTGCCTACTAACAAAACAAAGGTCTTAACACCTGAATGATCTTTCCAACTCCCCCATTTCATTTCTAAGAAAATTAAAAACTTAGTATAGCATGACTTTTCTAGAAGTTAAACACATTAATGTGGATACATCACTCTTAATATTGTGTATTCAAGAAAAAAGTGGTGGTTACACATCCCCAAACTTCGAGTCTCTAAAGCAAAGCAATCAATGGACCACAGCCACTCATACCAGGTACCACATGAGAGGTGAATTTGGTTTCACAATGAATTAAATTTTACCTGACTCCTGTACCTTAATATTTGTTCATTTCAAATATGTCCTACAACGCTATCACCCTACTTAGACTTATTTATATCAGTAAATCATTCTTCATTTAAATAAATTAGAATAGGAAATCTGCAAATCACCAAAAATAGAAACGATAAGAAATTTTTCAAACAAAATTAGAAGAATCAACCATTTAAAATATTGAATGATTATACTTTCTTGTGGCATTAAATTGTTGACTTTCCATACATTTGTTAAAATTCAATGATCATTCACATCACTTTTTTTATTATCCAAATAAAATATATACAAATTATATATATATATATCACTGAACTTTTAAAAATCATTTAATTAGGTTTTTATTCTAGTTACAGAAAAATAAAATTTTTAGATCTTTATGTGTAAAGTAAATCTATATAAAACTACTTTAATCTAACTTGCTTTACCAAAATCTAATCTCCACTGAAAGGTACAAATAAAATTGTAATAAGAAAAAGTGATTTAGGGCCGGAATGATAGTACAATGGGTAGGGCGTTTGCCTTGTACACAGGTGACCCGGATTCAATTCCCAGCATTGTATATGGTCCCCTGAGCACTGAAAGGAGTGATTCCTGAGTGCAGAGCCAGCAGTAACCCAAGAAGCAAAAAAAAATTGATTTTGGGGTCTTAAATTATAAGGTTGAAGGCTACACATATATGCAGAAATGAATAACATGGTAAATAAAACCTACCTGGCCTACAATAAAATCTTGAAGATGGGGGTAGGGAGCGCATGCACTCAAGCACACACACACACACACACACACACAAATCCTAAGTGTGGCCCAGTTAACAAAGACCAAAAAGCCCCTACAATTCCGAGCTACCTACCCCTTCTTGTTTAGTGAACAGATTTAGGCAATCATTCAAAGCTTCACAGGTTTCTCTAGAAGCTTCGGAAACAACTTCAACTTTCTGAAGAAATGATGGATGCATTTCTATAAAAAAAATAATAATAAAACAAGAGAGACTTTAAGTAATTTTAAAGATCACAAATGACATTATATCTACTAACTAAATATTTCCTTCTAGTGGCCTTGAGCAAAACATACACATTCTTTGGACATCATTTTGTTATTGTTGTTTTGGGGTCACACTTGGTGGGGCTGGGTGTGGCTAGGGGCTATTCCTGACTCAGAGCTTGGGAGTTGTTCCTGATGATACTTAGGAGACCATGAGGTGCCAGGAATTGAACCTGGTCCTCCTGCATGCAAAACACGCATATTTAGCTTTCTGAACTAGCTCCTCTTCCCCCTAGGCATCATTATCAGAGTCATAGGGAATATAAAGCAGTACAGAAAAGAAAAGGCAAAGGCTTGTTCTACAAAGGCCAATATCCTGGACAAGAAACAGAACATGAAAGTTTACAGGAACACTGTCAGCTGCTTAGCTGACAAAGACTCAAAGCACAACTTACATACAATAACATTTCTGTTTATGATAGTCTGTACTAGACAAGAAATTTTATTCAAATACAAAGTGCTAAACAGAGACAAAAATAATTTTGTCACTGGCATAATGGCTAACATATCTGAAGGCAGCATTAACTCAACTTCCCGTAGTTCTTACTTGGATAAATATATCTTTCACAATCAATAAAAAAAATAGTGCTTCTGTAGAGGTCTGTTAACATTCATAAAATGTTAAAATTCGGAACAGAGGTGGCAATATCAGTATCTTTCCAATCCCCCAAAGAAAATCTTTACCTATTCATTGTCCAAACCCCCCGAAACCAAAAAAAAAAAAAATGTCGACAAGAGAAAACTGGAAACTACACATATATTGCCAAAAAAGCCAAATGTCACATCCTGTCCAACACAATATAAAAAAATTGTACTTAGTTGAAATAGATTTTGACTTTGTTAATTTTATGTTAAAATCCGCACCTGTCTTTTCAACCGAATAAGAACATTAAGAAACTTTTCACTAAAAAATAAATAACTTAGAGAAATAACTTTTAAAATAACAGTGCTGTGACTCAGGTAGAAGAGAATACACGCCAGCATGTGCTGTACCCAAGAGGTTTGATCCCCAGAATACTTGGACCCCAAATACTACCACTGCACCAAAAATAATTTAGAAGACAAATCCACTGAACCTTTGGCATTTCAAACAATCTCAATTTTATTTAACTTAGTCTTTATTTACTTACTTTGGATTTTGGGCCACACCTGGCACTGCTCTGGGGTTACTCCTGGCTCTACACTCAGGAATTACTCGTGGCTTGCTCAGGGATCCATATGGAATGCTGGGAGTTGAACCTGGTAACCATGTGCTTGGCAAACACCCTATCCACTGTACAATCACTCCAGCCTATTAAACTATACTTTAAAATGGCAAATAATTGCAATTAATAAACAAAAGCAATCAAGTAAATTCAATGTCAGCAACTACTAATTATAGGCCATAAAATAGTGCTTTTCCATCAAGAGACAAATTTTCAAATGGGAAATTAAAATACCAACAACATAAATTACATTGATTTCTAGGTGCTACAATTGAGAAAATTACATTTTAAAAAATTATTTTAAATTTCTATACACGGGTGATTTTAGCAAAGAAATCCTCTTCTTTAAAAAATTCCTTCTTAAAACTCTAAATGCAAAAGTTGCCAACACAGTGAAAAAAAGTGACCACAGACATTTTATTAACATCTGACTATAAAGATCAAATGACACTTTTAATATTTTCCATCTTATGAACTAGTGCCTTAGAGCTATTCTTTGCAATACCCAAATTATTAAAAACTATTCTATGCCAAAATATTCTTAATTCCACATACTTAATTTCAAATTCTAAATTGCTGATGTACATTGTGAAGATTTAGTCTATATTTAGTTGCTAAACAGTAAAAAAAAAGTGGGGGAGGACCATATGCTAAATACTGTGTGACTTAAATAGTACTTCACCAGATGCCTCACACAGAACTGTGCACAAGGACTCTGAGGAAAGGTACAAGAAAAAAGACTCAGCCTCTGCCTTCTATAAATTTTCTGGGTAATCTAATAATTTTTCATTTTCATGGCATAAATGGTAAAGGAGAAGCATGGTCATTAATGGATGTTATTTCTTTTTCTTTTATTAAATTTCACACATTTAATCCATAATTTTGTCTGATTCAGATATTTCACACTTTAGATTCTTATTAGCATAAAACAAATATTAAATGTCAGTGTAAGTTTTTGGAGTACTAAGTTTTTTTAACAACATTTTCAAAAGATATTCTAAGAAATGTAAATCAAGAGAAGTTCTTATAAGATCCATAACCCAAAGTTATACAATCTCTCTGACAACCTATTGTTCAAATAAAATTTTGAATTGGTATTAACTTACACAACAGCACCGTGTCAGAATTGTTGAACTTTGGCAATCACATGAGTACAGTCCAGTCCAATTGGGGCCAATTGGCTTGTGTTGACATGCTTCTTATATAATGATGTTTGCTCACTGCTACATAAAAAACCTGCTAAGGGCTGTTAGAATAGTTACCAACTGGGGATCACTAAAAATGTTTTATTCAGTTAATATTTAGAGACTAAGCTGTAAGGAATAAAACGCAAAAAGGCCAAGTATATTACAAAATTTGGCCTACTTTGAGAATTTGGGTGCTGTTGAGTTGAGGGAAAAAAGTTTTGTACTAAAAATATCTTTTAACTCAGGGAAGATGTTAGATTCTATGTGAAACGCTTAACTATAGAGATGTATAAAAAGCTCACAATCTGTCATTTTCATGATAACACTATGTAGTTTAAAATTTGGCTTTGTAAAACCACTAGAGTTAAACTTGCTTCTTGTTAAGTTAATAAACTAAGCCCTAATTTAGATAATCTGTTAATAGGGAAAACTTACATTCTTTAATTTACCATTAAAAACACATTGCACTGAATCAGTTTTATCGAGACTGTTTTCCTGGAAATACATTTTTTCTTAAAAGTATTTTCCTACTCTTCTGACTCCAAACATTTATTCAAGATATTTCCGCTTCCCTGAAGTTAGTGATAATAATTCATATTCAAAAGTTTCACCACTTAAAATTTTTTTCAATTACATGTTCAAATGTCATTCCCCAAAGATTACTGTGGGATGAGATTTTTTGTAGGATGAGATTTTTCTTACCAGACTCTAAAAGCAACCAATCAACTTATAATAGGGAATACAGAAATTATATATGTGTTGTGTCTCTGACACCCTCTGGAAACTCTAAGGTTCTTGAAATCCTCAAATCTCCTGCATCAAGTTTTTTACAAAGAAAAAGCAGGCATTAATTAAAAGGTTGAGGAGTTAATATCTTATTCCTATGGCATGAGAGAAAATCACAGTGATTCTGGATTTTATATAAAAAATGATTATTTTTAACTTAATTGCTATAGATTGGCAAAAATAGGACAGATTATCAAATATCATTTGAAAATTATAGTTTAGGTAGCACGGTTATGACAAAGTTTATGGAATCGATTTACAAAGTCATCACAGTCCACCACCAATGTGCCCACTACCCACCACTGCTGTCCTATGCCATCTCTAGCCCCCTCCATCCCCAAAATCTCTCCCCACCCTGCTTGGTGATCTTGTTCTTTCTCAAGATTGTTTTGGGATTCTCAGAATTTTATGATTGCATACAGGTTTTAATAGGGTTTCTTCTAAGTTACTGAAAAATATCACTGAAATTTTGATGGGAATTACAGTTCAGTCTGCATTATCCTTTAGGTCACATGGTGATTTTGACAATGTTAATTCTTCCAATCCATGAATATGTAATATTTTTCCATGTCCTGGTGTTCTCATCTTTTTCACTTCAATGGCGATTTACTGTTTTCAGCATACAAGTCTTCGATGTCCTTCATAAAAGTAACTCCTAGCGTTGACCAGCCCGCCCGCTCCTCTCTGGAAAGAAAGATGGCGGCCGCACGGGAGCCTTGTGGAAAGCGGGTTTGAGCCGGGCTCGGGGAAGCGGCGGGGACCTCATGGGAAGGGGGGCTTTGTGGGCCGTCCCCCACGCCCCACCGAGGTCGCCAGCTGCCCCCCACGAGCGGCTCTCCGGCACGGCCACGACTCCAGGGCACAGAAATCAATCTCTTAACTAGCTAACTTTTAATAGAAATTCTTCCAGGGTCAATAAGTAAAATAGCAGAAATCCAAAGACATCATTTTATTCTTAAACCAAGTTGTAGAAAGCAAATCATTTCACAACGCTGTTTCAGCATGTCTGATTGGGGGGGGGGGGGGGGTCGTAAACTCTAAACAATAATTGTGCATCTTCTATCGAAATAATCTATCTAGTCAAAGTAGATAGAGTATTAACTAGAACTCATCTGCCTCATAAGAATTGGGAGGGGTGGGAGGTGGGGGTCTATTGGGGTTCGGGGTTAAAAATGAGTATTGGTAAAGGGAAATGTGTTCGGTATCTACATGACTGAGACCTAAACCCGAAAGCTCTGTAACTTTTCCCACAGTGATTCAATAAATAAATAAATTATATAAAAAAAAAAAAAAAGTAACTCCTAGGTATTTGATTTTCTGAAAACTATTTTCAATGGACTCATATTTTATTTTTTTCCTGTTCTATTTTATAATTCATATAGAAATGCAACAGATTTTTGTGTATTTTTGTAGCTTGCCACTATGTTGTACTGGTTTAATGTTTCTAAGAGTTTTGGTTTATTGTTTCTAAGGGTTTTCAGTAGAATGTTTAGGGTTTTCTATGCATACAAATCACATCATCTGCACATACAGTTTTACTTAACAGATTACTTGGTTTGTTTGTGTTAGGGTCACACCTGCCTGTATTCAGAGATAACTTTTGATTCTGTGCTCAGGGGTCACTCCTGGCAATGTTCAAAAGACCATATCTGGTGCCAGGGATCAAACCAGGGTCAGCTACATATGAAGTTTAACTCGGAACTAACTTTCTGGCCCCTTAATAAATTTTAAACTACAT